AAAATGATCTTTTTTTTTAGTACTTATGGAATTTGAAAGAATAATTATGGAACAAAGACATAAGGAGAAAGCTAAATATTCGACCACAGAGGCAAATGGGTTCTTGACATGGTTACATGGGATGCAATATTGGGTGTCAGTCATTGAAGCAACATTTGTCACTCTCCCTGTGTGTCACTGGGTAAAGGATAAATTTCTCCAAGTCACCAAGCCACGCCTGCAATCTTTTGGGAAACTGAGTTCCCTTTAAGGCTCAAGTTCATGGGAAGCATTTCCAGAAGTTTGGGCTTATTAGCTCAGGGGTGGGACCCACAGGAGGAAGGTGAGCTCCCTGAGGGAAGCTGATGCTACAGTTGAGGGGTGCATACCCTTCAAGGCCTCCTGTGTTCTCCAGTGAAGTGGGCAGCTCATCTCGAGGCATGTCATGTTAACCAGGAGTGACATCTGCTCATGGGAAGACTTGAGAAGCACAGTGTGCTCCAACCCTAAGCCAGTTAGTTGCTGGCTGAAGAACCTTCAACAAATCATTCACACTCTTGGATCCTCTTTTAGATCTGGGCAGTTTGGACAAGATCAGCATTCCTTCACGTGCTCCCAAATGTCAGATCAAGACTGGACTCTTGTGCTCAGGTGTGGTATGAGTAACTGCCACACACACCCCTTGTGGTACAGGAGGTAACCCTTGGCCCCACAATGGCAGAGCAGCGGAAGGATGCGGAGGTAAGCACATCTCTATGTGATTGTGAGCATTCTTGACTAAGGACTTGTAGCAGCCTGTCTTAACTAACAAAACATCCAAGCCGGTCTTCTATAAATGCCTTTAATGCTACTTTGCCTGTGCCATGCTTGAGTCAGATGATGCTTGGGTACCCATCTCTGGAGTCCTGCAATCTCTGCATGTCATGCCTCCAGAGTTGTTACCCAGTGTGGCACTGAGGGCCACTGAAGAATGGTAGCCTTGCAAGGAAGGCACTTGGAGTAATTTTCAATGGAGTGCTCCCCAAAGCTCTTCAAGCTCTTTGTTTCTGTTGTTTATTTTCTTTTTAAGACAGTCCACTTGAGCTTCTGTTCTTCTAGGAACATTTCTGGGACAACTGCCCCTTCCTGGCAGTCCCACGTGGTATGCTGAACCCCATCAGCTCCCTGCTAGTTCCCCACCATGGGTTCGCCTGTGTAACTTGTGTGTAGACTCTGTTCTCCAAGTGTACCTCAAGATTTGCAGCACTGGCACCACCTAGAAACTTTGACCTTTGGACTTTCTGGCTCCACACAAGTCATTCTCCTCCTTCTGACCCCCTCCAGGGGTTAGAGGTCTCACAGACACACACCTAGGGTCTTTATCTGGAATGTGGGAGTGACAGCAGTGACCATGTTAGACGGTACACAAGGGTTAGATACGGTGCCTATACGCGGCCTGGCAGGGCATAAGTGACTAATCAATGATGGCTGCTTACTCTATGGTGGGTGCAATCATGCGGTATGTAGGAGTTTCATCACAAAACACTGAGAGAAGACAGGTATCACCATGTCACTATGATGGTGTAGCTAGGAGGCCAGTGCCAAGGGCAGACAGACCTGGTTCTCTGGACAAGGTCTTCTGTTTATTGGCTTTATGTATAAAGGCATAAATTACTTAACCTCTCCACTATTAAGCTCCTCACTTAGAAAATACATTTTTTTTCTTCAGCAGGTAAAGAGAACGATAAAATAAAAAATGATGTTGCTTTGGAAAGTCCCCCTCCTGAAATCAAAGCTGTCAGTAGCACAGAGGTAAAGGCCTGGGACACTTAGTGTGTCTGTAAGATTACAGGTCACCACGCCATCAGATCCACAGACCAAAGGAAGGTTGGGAAGGAAGAAGGTTCTCCCATGCGCTATGTTCTGAAGAGACACCCTGTGTCTTGTCCCTAAGTGCTGACTTTGAAATGACCTCCTCCCCTAGGCTGTGCTTAGATCAGACACACCCATCTTCCTACTGACGTGTCTGGTTAGACTTCCATTGTTTCTCTGCTCCAAGTTTTCATCCTAGACCAGTATTTGTAGTTCCCATTAGGACGAGTTCAGATTTTTATATCTTTCCCTTAAATTCCATATCTTATAGGCTAGCATAGAATCCGATACCAAATCTTGAAGTGAGGGCTTCTCTGGTGCCAGTTTTCACCAGGCTTTGTCTCTGGAACCCAGAACTCCAAAACCTCCATGATTCACACAAGCATCCCTTCCCACCTGTGACAAGTTAGCAGCGGCTGCTATCCCGGGAAAACATCCTGTCCTATTCCCGGGACTGCTATGGTCCAGCTCTGGGCATCTTCTTCCTCCTCCCCCTTCCCCAGAATAAGGAGTCATGCAACTGAAGAGCAGCCCAGCAGCATCACAAGACCCATGTGCAGAAAAGTCACATAACCTTCCCACGCAGGAAGTAGAAGTACATTCAGCCCAACAGGGCAGGCCTAGGTAAGGATCCTTTGCGGGATCCAACAGAGAAATGCTGAGAATAACTGGAATCAACATCCAATCACACACACAATCAGAACATGCTTCATTTCCACCTGTATAGACCACTACCTGGGGAACCAGCTCGTGAATATGCTGGTGTGCGTGTCCAAAGCAACTGGTGCCCTACCCCATGTTGGTGAAGTTAAGAACTGGGTTCAGAACTCAGCCAGCCATAGAAGTGAATGGTAGATGGTTTTGAAGAGGAGAGAAGAATTTGGTACAGGGCTGTAGCAAAGATCTCCTGGTGTGTATTTGTGTGACCTGCCATAGGGTCCAAAGAACAGCAAGCCTGGTTGGTTTTATTTTCAATTACTTTTAAACCCTTTGAGCTCAGTGAACCCTGAACAGATTCTTGTTAAGCACTTTGTCCTACTTAATATTTAAGCCTGCGTATACTTAACATGAAATTTAAACTGGGTTATCTTTGGACTTGTAGGTCATCAAAATACAAAAAACAAAAACCCAGTGTGTCAGAAACAGCTAATGTCCGAGAAAGCTTTTCAAGCAAGTTTTCATATCCACAAGAGGTTACATGTGGTCACAGTTTAAGTCAGACCCTTTGCATTTTGTTAGTCCAGAAAAGCAAGGTATGAATTGAGTCAGGCTTTGGTCCCTGGCACTTCCCACCCACCCTTCTGTGAGCATATGGAACAGGGACACTGGAGACCTGACTGAACAGCAGGCCACTGCCTCCCCGTAAAGGGAAAGCTGTGTTTTTCTTTTTTCTGCTGGTACACCCACCTTGTTTGTCCGCCATGGAATACAACAGGATGTTTTCCCGGGATAAAAACATAGAAACCTTACAAAATTCAATTAAAATAATTTCAAACCTTTAGGAAGTCCCAAAGCTATGCTAACTAGGAGGGGGAAGTGATTCTTAAATGAGTTTATTTTTCTTAAGAAAGTATCTGTGGCAGGTGGAAGATCATATTTTTGAGAATTAGAAAAAAGTGTACTGTGTAAACAGGAGTGGGCTAGTGAAAATGACGGGTGAAAATTGTTGTTTGAGTTAAAAGTATCTCTGTATTTAATTTTGGCCAGAATTATTTATATTATATCATAACATATATTTAGCCCAAAATATAAATAATGTATTTACATAATTAGTGTAGATTAATTTTAGCTAGAATTATTGGTACTGCACAAACAACTAATACATTATGATACATATTTAATACAAATTGCATAACATACATATTTGGTATACATTCATAATACATTATACATATACTTTATAATCTATATGTCTTATAAATACTTATAAAATAAATATAAATACTATGTCAGAGTTTTGACTAGGATCTCTATGTATTTCTGATGTTAAAAGTTTTGTCCCTGGTTCTGGACACCTGGGAGGTGGCATTTCATCTTCAGGGATGGTGGAGTTGGGCATGCAGGTGTATTCAACACCCGGGTGATATAGTATTAGTCAGCGTGCTGAGAGGAAGCAGAGAAAGACTCATCCTAATCGAGGAAAGCAGTGTGACACAATGGTGGAAATGGTGCACGCTCCCAGAGCAGCAGCTGCACCATGTGGGGTTCCATTAAACATACACAATGTTAGGCTTCCCATCCTCCAGGTGGTTGGAGGTCTGAACCCAGAGCACTCTGTCAGGCTGGTAAAAGATGTGGTTCCAGGAGTACAGTACTGCCATGAGTCAGTGTTGGAAGCGTGAATGAGTGACTTCTCCATGGCCACTCTGTGTATCTAGGTGTCTGGAAGGACAAATGGTAGTGCTCACCTTGGAGGACTACAGTGATGCGTACTAAGGGCTCCATGTAGAAAGCACATGCTGAGGCATGACTGCCATTTCAGGGTGTTCTATCAGTACTCCCCTGAACCACTGCACTATGGTTATCCAAATCTTTCTGACTTGATGCCTATCACTACATTATTTTAATCTAATCTGCGTCTTCTCCACTTGGGACGCTTCTAGCCCTGTTCCTGCCTCTTATTTCCTTACATGTTTCTTCTAAATGGCCCACAGCTTCCTGGCCCTGCACAGGTTGTTTACTTGCAGCAGGGAATAAGCCCCAGTGCACTCTGCTTGGTTCCCCAGATCCCCCATTCTCACAAGAGCCCCTCTGTCAGGAGATGTTTCTTCCTGATGACTCTTCCCCAGTTCCCTGCCGTCCTTGTCTCATCCCCAGAGCCACCAGACCAGCTGTCCTCCGTGCTTCATGCAACCAAGTGCCTTCTGTACCGTACCTACTGTTTAGTTCAGTCCCAACCTGGAATTCTCTTTCCTTTATCTTCAGAAAAGAAATGGCATACTGCAGAATGAACTAACAAATTCACTCCCTGTGTCTTTCCTGGCTAGAAGTAGGAAAGGGCAATCCTGACTTCTCTATTCAATATCTTGAAGGACTCCAGTGAAGAATCACAGTTCTGAGAATTATAATCCCAACCTGTGAGCTTTGACAGCATGAAAAAAAAAAACCTGGGAAACTAAATGTTATTTCTAGAGACTAACACTGTGCATATAGTTTAAGTAGGGTATTGCTTGTCTGGAGGATTAAGAGAGAATTAAGAGAGATATTTCCATATCTAACTTGTGGAAAACTATTGATGTCTTAACAGGAGATAAGCCCTGTGGACTGCAGAACCACTAAGAAAAAGATCAAAGGCTACGGCATTAAAATGTATAAAATGAGAGTACAAGAAGCGATTTCTTTTTTAAATGTTAATTGTGTATTTAATGTGTATGTGTGAGTTTGTGTGCACCACTGTGCATGCAGTGCCCATGGAGGCCAGAAGAGGGGATCCAACCCCCTGAAACTGGAGTTACAGATGACTGTGAGCTGCCCTGTGGGTGCAGAGAATCAAACCTGGGTCTTCTGAAATAGTAGCAAGTGCTCCAAACCACTGAACCATCTCTCTAGCCCCAAGAAGCACACTTCTTCAAAGGAGGCTGCAGAACCGCAGATAAAGGAAATCAAGTGCATGTTGTGAAATGTAAACGCCAGTGAAGCAGACAGCTAAACCGATGAGCACCAAGCAGATTACCAGTCTTAGCAGAGCAAGGAGCAAGGGGCTGTCCTGCAACCAAGCAGTGGACACACTGAGATCCGGTCTGTGTGAGGCTGAGGGAGCTGACAGGAGAGAACATATTAACTATAAACCAGTAACTATGTAAATAACGACTGAACATGTGTACATGTGTACCTGAGTGGGGTGTAAAGACTGATAGAAAAAAAAGCATAATAGGCAAGGTGGGTAAATGGAGGACGTAGGCAGTAGCCAGGTGGTAGGTGAAATGTAGACAGACAGTAGATTAATAGGTTATTTGATAGATGCTGTTGCATAAGTTATAGATTGATGATAGGTAGTGGATAAAAGATAGCAAAATGATAGGTGATTGATAACCAGTGGATAAATGATTGGCAAATCACACACACACACACACACAGTATTTCAGAAAAGAATAATGCAGAAGCACTTCGAGTTGGGTTTAGACCGGATCACATAGAACAGAGGAGAAAGGGGGATTTGGTGCATTGGGAAGAACACTGGTGTGTCTTCCACAGGCTTGGCGCCTGCTTCCTCTCTAGCGCAGCTCACTCTGTCATTCCCTGAGATGGTGTCACAGTCCTTTTTACCTAACTCTCTCTGAGTCAACAGGAGCAGTGTATTCGGCGGCGGTGGGACTATTCTGGACTCTTCCCCTCCAGTGTGTGCTGTTTACTTCCTCCACGCTTCCCCTTCCTGCCTCCTGCTCAGATCACTGTGGCCCGGGTGGGGGTGGGTTGACCCTTTCTCTCCAGCGCCTTTTGCCAATGAGCTCCCTCCAGGGGCTGGATTCCCAGCAAGGGCTGTGGTGGTAACAACGGTTTCATTCTTGAAAAATTTGGGCCATTTAGCCTGTACTGGGCACTTGGCCAGATGGCCAGGGATTCAAAGGTAAATGCCACACCCATTGCCTTGAGGGAATCTTCAGGGGCCATTTTTGGTGGGTGTTCTGGATCTACCTGTAAACAGCATGTGTCTGTCCCTCTTTCTTTCAGGCCATAGCAGAGGCCCATGGTAGCCAGGTGGGTGAAGGGGAGCGAGGACGTGCCACTTGCCCTGCAGAAGATTCCTGACCTACAGAGTGACTGACCAGGTAGAAAAGGGCTGGGAGGGCAGAGGGTTCCAGACTGGGGGCAGGGCTTGGAGGGCAGAGGGTTCCAGACTGGGGGCAGGGCTTGCAGGGCAGAGGAGATGGGCTTTCCTGAGACCCATGTCCCTTAGCTGTTGTCTTTCCCTCAGACAGGGAACCACGCACTTCTGAACTATGCACTTGCAGAGGCCCTGGGTCCCAAACCCTGACTGCTAGGAAGCACTGCTCATGCCACTGACCCCAGAACCAGGTGCTCAGGCTTGGAGCCAGCAAGCACTTAGCAGAAACAGGAAAGCACACAGTTCATCTCGAGCCAGGTCAAGTCCTCAGCAAGGACAAGGGAGAAACAGAAGCCCCACAGTGCTACTTTCCAGGGGACGAGGCCACAGTCCCCAGAGTCTGGAGACTGCTGGAGGGCGGGCATCTCTTCTGTATGCAGGACACTCATGTTTCACAGTCCCCAGAGTCTGGAGACTGCTGGAGGGCGGGCATCTCTTCTGTATGCAGGACACTCATGTTTCACAGTCCTAGAAAACTTGAACCCTTGTTTTGGTTTCAGAGGACTGAGTGGCACGCATGTTCACCGCCGTTTTCTTTCCTCTGTCTTCCTCCTTAAGTACATCCCGTCACTTGCACGTAAGCTGTGTTTATCTTCAGCAGGGCTCTGTCACCAGCTTGTCTCCACACTCAGGCATGCCAGCGTGCCCTTTCCAAGCCTCAGTGGGGTTGGTTTTTTTCCTCATTATGGACTAAGAAGTGTCGTTCAGGGTACAAGAAGGGAGGCCCGTTTTCCCTGAGATGACCCCAGAAAGGGTGCAGCAGGCCCCAAGAAACTAAAGCTCTGAGTAACACATGGCCTTCCTTTACCACGAAATCAAAACAGTGACTTTCCAAGAAAAAAAAAAAGTCATTTCAGTAAGGGTCATTCAGTAAGAGACATGCCTTTCATTCTGAAGCAGGAAGATTAAATGGCCCAGTGGCTCCATTTTGTATCCTGAGCAGGTGCTGGCCTCCAATGGGGACCATGACTGTTTCCATGAAAGGATTTGCCTGCAATCATTCCAAAACTTTTATTGGCATAATGCCCCCTACCAGAAAGATTAGTGTCTGAATCATAAGCCGCTGTGTATCCATCTATTGTTTTTCAAATGGGGGATTTTCCCCCAATTCTTAAAATACCAATGAGGTAGGGTTAAAAAAAAAAAAGCCAGCCAGGTAGAGTTACTCTGTAATTGCCAACATAATGTTTTTCAGGGAATGTAGGGTCATTCATCTCAGTCAGCGGGCAGGTGCTATAAGATGCTCTGTGGTCTCTCAGCCAGCTCTTCTCCGGCTCTTGGGTGTTGAGACAGGGCGAAGCCTCCCTGGGGCTGAGCTGGGAGCCCAGTGCTGCTTCTGGGTAGGTTTTTTAATTTTTTATTTATTTAGTTTTTTTTCTCCTACTACATTAGATACCCTACATACCCTTTAGTTTTTAAATATACTACATACCCTTTCGTTTGTTCTTAAAATAGACTCCTCTGGCTGGTTCTATTTTCATCTAAAGAACAGGGCAGAATTTTGTGTATACCTAAATATCACACCTCAGATGACATTGGTGGTGCTCGTCTAAGAATAACCTGCATGGCAACTGAGACATTAAGAAAGTTTAATCACTTGCTGTTAGTGGGACTTTAGTTGCTTGGTAATTTGACTTTTCCCAAATGTCATTAGATCCAAGAGAAACCATAGACACTACATTATTCATTGGATGGGGGAGGCAAATGAATTGCTCTAAAGTATGTGAGTTAAAAAGAAGGTCTAAAAACGTATTAATACTACTTTAGCTCTGAAGGTTTGCAATAATATTCTCTATTGCTATACCAAAACTATTTTATAGTGGCTGATCTAACATATGTAACATTTGACCAGTTCTGGATCTGGTCACGTAAGTTTTAAGTATTATCATGGTAAATCATTAAAGTTGACTATAAATAAAAGCTGGTAACATTTTGTAAGACATTTGCATAGCCTTTTGTACTGTCAAGAGAGAAGTAACTTATCTTATTTTGTTTTTAGAATACAGCTTTGTTTCAATGCTGACCTAACCACTGCAAAACCTTGTGATGTAAAGTAGGACTGCCATAGTTCTTGTCCACTTCACACAAATACAATCACCTGGAGGAGAGCAATCTCAACTAAGAAACTGCCTCCACCAGACTAACCTGTAGGTACATCTATGGGGCATTTTATTGATTGATGATTGATGTTGGGGGTTCAAGCCCACTGTAGGCAGTGCCATCCCCTAGGCAGGTGGGTCTGGGCTGTGTAAGAAAGACAGCCAAGCAAGACAGAGGAAGCAGCAAACAGAGTTCCTCCATGGTCTCTGATTTAGTTCTTTCTTGAGTTTCTGCCCCGACTCCCCTCATGGTGACTTGTAACCTGTAAGATGAACTAAACACTTTCCTCCAAAAGTTGCTTCCCATCAGTGTTTTATCGCTAAGCAACAAAAAGTAAACAAGGACCAAAGCTGGTTCTGAGAGTGGGCTAAAAACGCTCACACACAAGCATTAAGGACTTGCTCCCACTTAAAAATTAAAGAGTCGAGGTCTAGAGAGGTTAGAGGTTTGTGCTGACTCACACAGCTCATCAGCTGCAGAATCAGTGTTTCCCTCATGCTAGCTTTCCTACAGAGCCTCAGTCCCTTACTCAGCTGCCCTCACCACGTTGGCACAAGTCAGGTAGTCTTGCCTTCACAGTTCCACTTTCTTACTTCTATCCACACTCGCCTTTCCTTCTACCTCCTGAGTTATCTACCTGTAGGTCTGAACTACTGAGGGTTGAAGATACTGGGTACAGTTGCACCTGGACTGGGCACATGCAGACAATGTTCAAGCAGACAGCACAGTAGCTGCTTCTCTATGCATTATGCACATCATATTAAGTTTTATAAATCATCTAGAGAAGGTTTAATGTACTGGGAATGAGATGCACAGATGACATGCAGATACTTTGTCATCTACATAAAGGAATCATGATCCACAGCAGAGTTTTTTATCCACAGGGGGGTCCTAGAAACTGTCTTAGTCTTGCTTCCTGATGCTATAAGAAAATACCCTGACAAAAGCAACTTAGGGGGGACTCTGGAGAGATGGTTCAGCAATAAAGACAGCTTACTGCTCTTGCAGAAGACCGGAATTCAGTTCCCAGCACCCACGTCCAGCAACCCAGGCACTTATAATCACATGTAACTCTTGCAGCTCTGGGGGATCTGATTCCTTCTTCTGGCCTCAGTTGGCACAACCCCTCAACACACATATATAAGCAAGTGGAGAAAGGGTTTATTTTCACTCAAAATTCCAGATTACAGTTCATAGTTGAGGGGAAGTCACAGGGATGGGAGCTTGATACAGTTGGTCCCATGGAGTCCACACTGGAGGAAGGGAGCAAGGAGAGCATGGCTGCTTAGCTCACTTTCTATACTCTTCTACAGTTCAGGATCCCCTGCCCAAGGAATGGTGCCACTTACAGTGGGTGGGTCTTCCCACCTCAATTAGGAAAATCATAAAAATCATGCCCACAGACACACCCTCAGGCCAATTTGATCAGACAACCCCTCACTGAAACTCTCTTCCCATGGGACTTTAGATTGTGTTGAACTGACAGTTAAAATTGACACAGATACCAAGGGACAACTGAGCATTCAATCTTATGACACATGGCAATAGAGTATAATTACTGCATGTGGCAGAAAGAAGGTCGCAGCCAAAATGTAACCAAAGGATTCTGCTATTGTCTTTTCTACTTTCTGGAAGTCCCACCAAAACAGTTGTAAGACACATCTTTGTCATTTCTTTAGGTGGTCCAAGGAGCCTGGAAATGGACGCCATTCACATCGGCATGTCCAGTTCCCCACTGGTGAAACACACCAATGGAGTTGGACTCAAGGCCCACAGACCTCGCGTCATGTCTAAGAGTGGACACAGCAATGTGAGAATCGACAAAGTAGACGGCATCTATCTGCTCTATCTTCAGGACCTGTGGACAACAGTCATTGACATGAAGTGGCGATACAAACTCACCCTGTTCGCTGCCACCTTCGTGATGACCTGGTTTCTGTTTGGAGTGGTCTACTATGCCATAGCTTTTATTCACGGTGACTTAGAACTTGGGGAGTCCAATTCTAATCACACACCCTGCATCATGAAAGTGGATTCTCTCACAGGAGCATTCCTCTTTTCCCTGGAATCCCAGACAACCATTGGCTATGGGGTCCGTTCCATCACAGAGGAGTGTCCTCATGCCATTTTCCTCTTGGTTGCCCAACTGGTCATCACCACCTTGATCGAGATCTTCATCACGGGGACCTTCTTGGCCAAAATCGCAAGACCCAAAAAGCGAGCCGAGACCATCAAGTTCAGCCACTGTGCCGTCATCAGCAAGCAGAACGGGAAGTTGTGCTTGGTCATCCAGGTGGCCAACATGAGGAAAAGTCTCTTGATCCAGTGCCAGCTCTCGGGAAAACTATTGCAGACACACGTTACCAAAGAGGGAGAGCGCATCCTCCTCAACCAGGCCACCGTCAAGTTCCACGTGGACTCCTCTTCCGAGAGCCCTTTTCTCATTCTGCCCATGACCTTCTACCACGTGCTGGACGAGACGAGCCCCCTGCGGGACCTCACACCCCAGAACCTAAAGGAAAAGGAGTTCGAGCTGGTGGTGCTCCTCAATGCCACTGTGGAGTCCACCAGTGCCGTCTGCCAAAGCCGAACGTCCTACATCCCCGAGGAGATCTACTGGGGCTTTGAGTTTGTGCCTGTGGTTTCTCTCTCCAAAAATGGGAAGTACGTGGCTGACTTCAGTCAGTTTGAGCAGATCCGGAAGAGCCCGGATTGCACCTTCTACTGTGCGGATTCTGAAAAGCAGAAGCTGGAAGAGCAATACAGGCAGGAGGACCAGAGGGAGCGTGAGCTCAGGAGCCTCCTGTTACAGCAGAGCAATGTCTGACCCCGGCCGGCCTCTGGGAAGCCCCAGAGCCGCTCCTGACCAGGGCTCCCCGCAAAAGCTATGGCCGCTGTGCACATGGGAGGGTGGACCCGAGACCAAACCACACAGATGTTCATGACCCATCTTTCTCTTTGTTCTGGTGGCTGAACAAGCATCTCTCAATATAAAAGGATTTCTTCAGAGGCCCTGGTCAGAGGTGAACACTCAAATTCAGATTCCCCCCCCCCAAAATGGAATTATATATGGAAGGAGTGAGTGTAGAAGATGGGGAGAATACCTGTCCCGGCGACAGACATGCAGCAATGTTGATAGCGAATGGAATGTATGTCTGTAGAAGAACATCAGCCTATAATTCAAAGTATTTATTTAACCCACCTGTCAAGGGCATCATCAGCGGCTGATTCTGAGGCATGATTCGTTATCGGCTTGTATCACTGCTGAAGAGCCTGCTCCTTCTCGTGCTCAAGTGTGTAAGTTACACCTGCAGTGACGGCCGTCTGGGAAGGACCGGACACTGCTGGGGAGCAGGGACTTCGAAAAATACAGTCATTTGGTTTTTACATTTTTTTTCAGTGGATTGATTGTGTGGAGTGGAAGTAGTCAAATCAGGATTTAAGAGTTCTGAGCATATGTCCACATCTGGATTCTGTTGTCCCTGTCATTTTCGGGGGAAGCATGCACTAGCCTCTTTTTCCTTCCAAATGCCCCTCACAGACAAGCCAGACAGCACCATTTAGCGACATGCTGGCAATACACGCAATCAGGTCTGGCCAGGCTTACGGAACATCAGTATTGTAAGCTCTGCTCTGAGTAATAGTGTCAATGTCGTTGTTCTAGAACCACACAGAAAAATGGCCGCGTGGGTTCCATGCCCTTACGGCCTCCAGATCTGCCCGTCAGTCAGTGCTGTTAATCCATGTGTCTCTCAGACATTTCAGTTTCCCCTGTGAACATACCTTGGCCACAGAGAAATTGCACAAAATTACTGATGTCTTAAGAACGGAGCAGCTCCCTGAGAGCTGTGATTGTCACAGCCACGATAAGTACGTGACTTGATGATTATAGTCACCACAAAAGAAAATTGAAGCTGTGTCACCGTGTAGGACGTCAGCACAGATGCTGCAGCCCGTGAGGCTGGGTGACAGCAGGAAGAGCAGCGGAGGGAGGGGCGTCTGTAAGCAAGAGGACCCCTTGTGCAAGAGCCCAAGCACATGCTTGGTGTCCAGACACACCTCATACAGCTCAGTGTTACAGGGGGAACATTTCCCTCTAAAAAAACTAGAGTTTAAGGTCTGCATTTTGGGGGAAAGAGAATAAATGGCCAGAAACAGCTAAATACGTAAAAGTTGTGTGTGCTCCTTTTATTCAAATCAGGACAAACTGTAAATTCACTCAAGTGCCATGTGACCATGAATGTGCAGGCAACACACACACACACACACACACACACACACACACACACACACACACACACAGTGTGCGTGTGTTATCTTCAATCATTCAAAAGTATTTTTTCTGTTCTTGATTTCATGGCAGGCTATTTTAGGTTGCCTCTCTTCAAAAACTGTTGGGTGCTTGCCTGTTTAGATACTAGTGCCTCTAGCTACTAATCCTGTGTATTTGGGTTGTATATTATAGCAGAATCAATGGGAAAAATCACGTCACAGAGTTGTTTGTGGTGACTTTTCTATTGCATTATGAAATCCTTCATACAAAATCTACCTTGGTGCCCATCTGAATCTGATTGATACCAGTAACTCAGCTCGCTTCTGCTGTATACGGTACAATGGTGACATGTCAGACTCCATCATCTTTGTATAATCACTGGGGATATTATTTTCAGCCAGATTTGGAATATCTGAATATTTGATTTATTTTCAATACACACAAATATATGTAATGCCTTCAAAACCAATGTATGGGACAGGTGTGCTGGCACATGCTTGTAATCCCAGCACTTGGGAAGTGGAGGTACAAGGATCAAGAATTCAAGGCCAGCCTTGATGACATAATGCCTCCACTACATGAGTTCCTCTATATAAAAAACAAAAGTACAATAAATCATATTGTAACATAATATTTAGTAAGTAGTTCTATAGTTGACTGATTTGAAACTTAACATTTTCCAGAATCTCTTAGCTAGTATTACTTTGAATCACATGTTCTCATGTTAATATGCTAACAAAAGAGTTAAGTGGTGGATGTTATCTAGGCAGGCTTCTGATGGAAACAGACTCATAAGAGTCATCAAAACAATGGAGTGCTTAACCTAAAGAAAGCTTTGTGATTTTCAGAAACCCAATGCATCAACCTTCTCAGTGGCTGTTCAAATGTGCTTCATTTTGGAGGCCACAGGGCCAAGAGCAGCAGATCAGTGTATACCACAAGCCACTGATTCTGCTTGCTGTCTGTGACCCCAGACACCGGAGGAGAGATGCACCCTTTGACCCACACAATGAGCCGCCTTGGGTTGGAGTTGGGAGCTAAACATTGTTTCTCTTTTTTCTTTTTATTCATGGGGAAATTAATAGCACAGTTTTTGAATATCTAAAATAAATGCATAATGGTAAGAAAAATAATAATATTCATTAGTGGACCAAATATTTAGATAAATGTAAACACCCATTTTGTTTGATCTTTATTTGAATTAAATTTCTACTTTGAATTGGCTGTGGTTTTGATATCACTGAAATGTAAAATTAGGAAAGATATATATATATGTGTGTGTGTGTATTTGGGTGGCGTTTCTATTCTGATGCAATTCTCTCTCACTTAGATCATTGTAACACATGGAAAGAGAACATGGCAGACTGGGATGAAAGAAAATGGGGAGAGAAAGGTGAGGGAAAATGTGTGTGTGTGTGTGTGTGTGTGTGTGTGTGTGTGTGTGTGTGTGCACAGAACCTGGGCTTCTGTGGGACACTCACCACAGACTCATCATAGGTGTTGATTCTGTGCCTGAATCGCAGGATTTTCTGAGAAACACCAATGGATGGAGTCCGGTTCTTTCCAAAGCTTTGCCACTAACTATGTCACAGAAGCAGCAGCAGAGAGGCTTCACCCAGCAACTTATGGGAGCAGATGCAGAGACCCACAGCCAAACATTAGGCAGAGCTCAGGGGAACCCCGAGGAAGAGGGAGAAGAAGGATTGTAGGAGCCAGAAGGGTCAAGGGCACCATAAGAACACGGCCCACAGAATCAACCAAGCAGGGCTCTTAGGGGCTCACAGATACTGAAGCAGCAATCATGGAGCCTGCATAGGTCTGAGCTAAGTCCTCTGCATATATGTTATGGTTGTGTAGCTTGGTGTTCTTGTAGGACTCCTAACAGTGGGAATGAAGGGCATCTCTGATTCTTTGCCTGCTCTTGGGACCCTTTTCCTCCTACTGGGTTGGAAAAGTAAGTACTACTACATAGTCCAACCTTATGTGCCTAGTCTTATTGTAACGTGATATGCTATGTCTGGTTGATATCCCTGCGAGGCTCTTTTTTGAAGGGAAATGGAAGAGGAGTGGATCTAGGGGAGAGGGGAGGTGAGTAGCTGGGAGGAGTGGAGTGGGGGAAACTTTGGTTGGGATGTAATGTGTGAGAGAAGAATGGAAGAAAAAGAGGAGGAGGAGGAGGTAAAAGCCAAGCTCCAGCCATGCCACCTCACCCCAGCTACTACTTACAGTCACATTCTGTGTCCTTGGCAACAGATGCACTGTCCATCCAACTTAGACAACTCATTTTCTGGGTTTTAAAAAAAATCAAACCAAACTAGAAACACTTCTGTATCTAAAACCTGCCCATGGGAACTTCTCTTTTCCAGTTCTTATACTATAGGATGTTTAAAAATAGAACTGGGGTCCATAATCAATCGCTGATCACTAATAACATTACAAGTTTGGAAAGTCAGACAGAGGACGTAATAGGTACATGAATATAAAAGCCTCCAATGAAGCTGAGGGTGTGGCTCAGTGGCAGAGCACGCATGCACTTAGCTTACACAAGTCCTGGGTTTGATCCCCCGTGCTGTAACACAGAATTAACAAATGATGAGGCTGCCACAGGAAGGTGAATGCAGTATCATCCTTAACTTATAGAGTAGGGGATGCTAGGTAGACTGGACATCTTTTCCTATATCTGGTCATTTTTGTCCTGTGTCCTGTGAGGATGCCCTTCAAGTCCTGTAGTCAGTGGTTTTCATACATAACCAAACTGCCTAGTCAACCTTTTAAAAATCTTCAAATTTAGTGGCCGGAGAGATGGCCTAGCAGTCCAGAGCCCTTGCTGCTCCTCCAGAGGACCCAAGCTTGGTTCCCAGCTCTCACTTGGCAACTCACAACCACTGTTAAGTCCAACTCCCTGAGATGAGACACCCTCTTCTGGGCTCTATGGACACTTGCATTAAAGTGCACATAACCCCCTACATCTGCACACATACACATAGACACATGATTTTAAAGTAATATAAATTTAAAAAATCTTCAGATATAACTGGAAGTCTCTACCCAACCTGTCAAGTCCATGGAGAGCACTCACATAATGAGCTGGGCTCATTTCTAGAAAGGGTATAAATGAATGTCACTTTCCTGGAAGTTAGATTATTCACATTGCTACTACCACAGAAGCGGGTAATCCAAGAACACATTTCTCTGGCCCACTCAGTCAGCAAAAGTAGATTTCAGTGGAGTGTGGAGCCATTTATGACCCTCCTAGCCAGTGCAGAGCCTGCTTAGCCGGGAAGCCTTTTCAGGTCACAGCTCTAAGTCATGAGTGCCAAGTTCCCCTCTCCTGGATGTGGAGAATGCCGTGTCCGGGGCTGTGAGTAGGCCTGTGCTTCCAGTCTCCTCATCATCTCTTGAGGGGCGGATCTACAGAGTCAGCCTTCATCCATGCAAGACATTAGAATGTCACAGTAAAGCACTTTTATTTGTATGGTAACCAAAAAATTCATTGAAACCTTGAAAAAGTGGGGTTATCTTAAAATCCCGTAATCAAATTTCCTATGGTTAGCTACTTACTCTAGATGATATAACCCTTAGCTATCAATGCATTTTGATCATGGGTCAAATTTTATTTAATAACCTTATCTCCCCATGCCTAGTGACATCTAATTTGGTTCCCCCCAAATGTACAAGTAAATAAAAGTTAGAAAACAGTCAGTCTCTAAGGGAACAACTATTAATGATGGTACATGTTGTCCCTAACAAGCTAAAACTCAGAAATTACTGTCTGCAAACGAAGAATGTACATCATCTCCTGGCTTATCAATACTATGAAAAGTAGTTATGTATCTGTCTAGTACTGTGGAAAAGTAAAGAGCCGCCATGAAGGCTGGAGGGAAGCCCAGGGGCTATCGTGTTTCCATCCGAGTTTATCCGTTCTTCTATCTCCTGTCACCGTTGAGGAGCAAGGATGTTGAATTGGACCAAACTGTTACAGGAAGTGTGACTGTGTGGGAGTTTTTCACAAAACAAGCCTCCAGATGACAAAAGGAAGCTCTGTTTGTGTGCAGACGGAGTATTAAAGAGCAGTCAGGAGTGGAAGGCAGGATGATAGCCAGCCAGGTCTATTTTTGAGGGATTATTTCTGTAGGCTGTTAAGGAAGCCTAAAGCACAAAGAGACTTGGTACACAGACTCTGTAATCCAAAAGGATGCATTCCAGGAAACTGCTTAACAAAATTCACAGGCAGGTGTGGGGACCCCATCCCAAAGAATGCTGATTTGGGAGCCAACAGCACACTACTTAGGACAACTGGCAGTGTACCGTCTCTCAAATCATCATGCCCCAGTTTCTTGTTGTCTGTAGAAAGACACGTGACCTCTGCACTGTGCCCCACCCAAGATGAATGGCCCTACTTTCCCCCCCGATTTGTATCTACTCTGACGCTGTCATTTACTATAGCAGGGTAGCAATGCCTATTTCTCAAAGTTGGACCATTGTTTGGGGCATGACAGAAAGACCACACTGACTTCCGTGTGAACGCATGTTATTCCTGAGTCTAACTACTTAATGGACGGACAAATGTAAATATATCCTCCAATACTCTATGAGCCCATTTCTGTTTGTCCCAGTAACTCAGTGCTGTAGGTCTATCCACAAGCAGCCTTGTTCTGTCCCGTTACTATGTGAACCACTGTTACCCTGGAAAGCCTGATGCTATAGGGTGTTTTGTCTGCATTCACTGGACTTTAAAGGTGTCGTGCTGATGCTGGCTCAGATGGAGAGAGTTCTATTTTGTCCTCAGAAATATCAGGAATAAACTTACTTGAAATAACCTGTCTCAGTAATAATAGTTACAGAAATGAGGAAGTGACTAGGTACTAAAGTCTATTTAAAGCAGGGCGGCTGTGAGTGTGTGTGTGTGTGCGTGTGTGCGTGCGTGTGTGTGTGTGCATACGCCCAATGCTCAGAACCAGGGTCTTGAGCATGCTAAGTGGGTTTTTTTTGGTTTTGTTTTGATTTTCTGCCATCGAGCTCTATCACAAGCCCTGTTGTTTTTCCTTGTTTGTTTTATTTTGAGACAAGGTCTTGCTGAGTTGCCCCGAGTGCACACAAACTTGCCAATCTTCCTGCGCAGTCTCCCTGGTAGTTGGGATTCCAGGAGTAACCCACCACATGTGCAAGGTGCTATTTGATATCTGAGCCTAAAGGAATGTGTTTGCTGCCTTTCTAATCCTAGAACAGAAAGTGAAATCCCTGCCTCATCTCTTTCTTCTAATTCCTTTCATTTTTTTTCTACGATCAGAGATCCACCCAATTACTTTGTCAGGGTATCCTTTCATCCATGAGTCCTTTACTCAAATCTTTAACATTCCACAGCTCTTTGATAGAGTCAAAGAAAGAGGCTTCTTGACAGATGTCTTAGAGTCTTGGATACGGGTGTGGCTGTAAATCAACACACCTCTTTAAAATCCACATGGCAGAGGTATGTGTCCATCAGACAGCTGCTAGATGTCTGCTGAGCGGTCTCCCATGGAAACTAAGCACACATACAACAAAGAGACCAACCTGGAGTCCCTCTCAGGAGCCTTCTCTCCAGGAGGCTTCACTTGTCTAATGTGACTCCTGCTGATGAGGTCTTGTTCTTGGTGTGAATATTTGGAAATAAATAAGCCTGTGCAGATGGTAGGTTAAATTTGATGACTGCATTCGGAGTGGGACAAAGCCTATTTTACAAAACAAGGCAGGGCCATGAGGCTAGTCTGTGGACTTCAATTTTCACCAAATTTCTCACTCTGTTTTCTACTCCACTATTCCACTGAGAGACCTCGGCTGAGAAATGAGCTGTCCCTGCCCACAATGCACAGCGTTCTTGCCTTTTTACACCCCTTCCTGGGAGATGGGGGATGTGGACTTTGTATGTGAAGTTGTAACTCTAGGGTAGCCATGTGGAAGCTCCATATTCTCCTGTCAGAAAGCCCTGATTTCACCCGACTTCAGCCTTGAAACATCTGACACAAAGGTTGGAAAGATGACCCAGGATGAAGTGTTGGCCACACCACCATGGTAATCCCAGCACCATCCCCAAAACCCACATAAAGGAATAAGGAAGGAGACCATAAAGTTGCCCTTTGGCCTCCAGGAGTGGCTCCACACATGGCATGTCACACACACACACTCTCTCTCTCTCTCTCTCAATAACAATAATTAGCAAAATAAAAATCACAAACAGGTTGA